GGAGCAGGATGAAGACCCCGCGGCCAGGCTCTGCTGTGATCCCTGCAGGAATGGGAACTTGGTGGTACCTTGTAGTTGACAAACCACACAGCAGCTGCTGAGCACAGCATAGAGGAGATGACTTGCTCCTGAATCAGCAACTGTGGGGAAATAGATTAAATCTCCTCAGATTAACACCGCCCTTTATATTTTCTATGTAATGAAATCACACACCTCCATCCCAAAGTTTCTCACCTCCAAAGTGTGACCACCCCTCCCTGAGCACATGCTCTCTATTTTATTAATTATATCTTTGAGTGCAAAGTGAGGAAGTTTTACACCAATTGAGAACAAAAGTATGGTTGACTAGAGCCACTAAAATTTCACCTAAGTGTAAAGAAATAGTGTAACAGTGAGTTAAGAGGGGGACAAGTTAGGAAAGGCTCCACATAACTTCTGGGATCCATTGATGGGTTGATCCTGGCGTTTCCCCCGTGGGGACACCTGTTGGGTAAGATCCCTACTCTGTGCACTCTGTTGATTATCTCAAACTTTCACTGATGATCAGAGCCTTCAAACTTGTTCCTGCAGTCAGTGCACTGTCAGTGACAATCTCTGCCCAGACTCTATGAGTGTTCTGTGATCAGTGTATTTGTTAATAAAGTGTGTTATTGCTTAAACTGTTCAGCCTGAGTCCTTCAAGGTTGCTGGCAGACAATGGCAGTGGATAAAAATGTCAGAATTAATAACATATCAGAGCATAGGAGATCCAGGAGGGGGGTCTTTCTTTCCAGACTGAGATAAGGGATCTGACTCTGACACGCTGCTGTCACAAGTCCCTGGACAGGTTAATGAACCCACCCTGGGCACAGCGGGCTGTGCAGGGCCATCCCCATTCTGGGGCACTGGCAGGCTGCTGAGCATAGGGGCCTCATCTTGCCTGGGGCGCTGACAGATCAATCATAATAATACGTTTTAAAAAATCAAGTATAAAGGGCTCGAGGAAACACCCCTTCTACGTGGAACACAGTTGACGTGAGACCTATGTGTCAGTGTAGCCCTGCTGGAGGGAAAAGCCCTGACATATCCCTCATCTGATGGTATCTCTGGCTGATTGCAGTTTCAAATGTCGTGTCATGGTCATCACGGGAATGTGTGAAATCTTGTAATACCATTTAATGTACCTTGCATAATAAATGACGGCACCCGACTGCGCCGGCTCGGCTCGGCACGGCTGGACTCGGCGCCGTTCTCGCTCGTGATTGGCTCGCTCACCGCGCGCTCCCTCTCTGATTGGTGGGAAGCCCTGGCGGCGGGAGCGCGCGCGTTGGGGCTGCCATGGCAGTGCGGGACGCTGCGTGGCCGGGCGCGGAGGGATCCTGCTGTGCCTCCGCCCCGTCCGTCTTCGGGACCAGATCGGGGCTGCCGTGACGTTGTCCCCACGGGTTTCTGTGTCCCTGTGCCCACGGTAGCCGGGTCCTGTCCCTGCGGGCGGCATCTCCTCATGCTTAGAGGCTGTGGGTGGTGGGTGAGGGACTGTTTTTTTTCGGCGGAAGGTCACGGAGGGGCGGTTCGAATGCTGTGACAGACGACCAAGGGGCGCCGCGCCGCCATTTTCCTCTCAGGCGGGCGGGGCCGTGCGGGGTGGCTTTTCGCTTCTATTGCAGCCCTATCCCGCCGCCTCTGGCGTCTCCTGGGGCTGTGTTCACCGTCCTCGGTGATGACCCAGGCACGGGGGTAGATATAGATCTTTGATCCCCGCCTCCTCTTCCCTGCCGCTTGCGGGACCCGCCTCAGGACAGGGCAGCTCAGGACAGGGCAGGGCAGGGTGCGGGGCAAGCCGGACCCAAAGGGGGCTCGGCCTTTCCCTTTCGCCGGCCTTTATCTCATCGCTGCCTCCGAAGTGCAGAGCCAGGGCAGGACCCTCCGGGCATGTACGCGTTGCCTGTTAGCTCAGTATTCACAATGTAAAAGGTTCTGTTCACGGAGCTGTCCTGCTCCTACGGTTCTCTTACCGTTCTCTGTCCCTGCACTTGAGGCAATGGGAGGCGGCCAAGGCAGCAGTAAAGGCAGCCCGCTGTGCTTGTGCAGGGTGACACGGGAGCCTACATGGCTGAACAAGATTTTGAGAGGAGTGATGCATGTGTGAGAGAGCTTATATTTGTCACAGAGTGATTAAAATGTATTTCCTCAAAGCTGCTGCAAAGCCTCGTGTTTGGGCACAGAGAGTGTGAATTTTAGCAGGTGGGTGTTTGGGGAAGAACCTTGTTCTACTGAGGAAAGAAGGGAAGCCTGTGTTTAAAACTTATACAGAGCTATGCTGCTGACAGCACAGAAGGATGCATGTTTTTCTAGCAAGGATTTTTAGGCATAGTTGTTCTCAGGTTTAATCATCACAGAATGGTTTGGGTTGGAAGGGACCTTAAAGATCATCTTTTTCCAACTTCCTGCCACGGGCATGGACACCTTCCTGTAGACCAGGTTGCTCCAAGCCCCATCCAACCTGGCCTTGGACACTCCAGGGATCTGACACAGTGAAACAAATGTCCAGCCTGGTCATGGGATTTGGCATCTGCAGACTGCAGCTGCTGGATTGACTAAACGCTTGTTTTACCCATACAGATTCTGAAAACCCTTTATTTCATTTATTTCCATTTATTTTATTACTCCTGTAGATTCAAGACCTGCCAAGCAGCTGCTCTCTCATATCAGTGAGCCCTGCCTTTGCAGAGAAGAGGGTTGGCATCTCCTAGCAAGAGTCAAAAAAAAGCAGAAAAATAAAAGGATTAAGATTCAGTAGCAGCTTGAGTTATGGAGGATGGGAGGGGTGGGTGTGGAATCTGCAGCTATAGTCTTTACTACTTGTAGGTTCCTGAAGGCAGATTGCTGCAGAGGCAGATTTTCTATGTTTGCTCTGTTTTACCTCCCCTGGGGTCCCAGTTCTCTGAGGAGGTCAAACACCTCCTCTGCTTTGTGCTCAGTCTTTCTTTGTGAGGTGCATGGAATCTTAATACTGGCTTCTAAAATAGATAGAAAGATGGGTAATTGTTGGGGTTTTATTTGTTTTACTTGTTTTACAAGCTTAGAAATATTAAAATAGATATTTTCCTCATCTTAAGCTTGTCCGGGGATTTACAGCATTCCTGTCTCAAAAGAACAAAACAGCTTGGAGTTGAAGGAAATCCGTATATGGTGGCGTGACACAGCAGCCTGTGGCACCTGTGTGTGTAGGGATGATGTGTGACTCATAGGAAGGTGTGTTGGATTTGTCTAATGTCAAATCTGTAGCACCTCAGGTACCCAAACCTCTTCAGCCCTTGCTGTTTGCCTCTTAATGTTGTATCAGAAATTGGGTCTGTGAGGTTTGCTTTTCTTCAAGCTGGCACTGGGACTGATGCCGTTTGGGTTTTGCCTTTTTTTTTCTTTTATATGTTCTCTGTATTCTTCACACATATATTTGTAACTCTGTCACCTATTATACTAGTGACTAGTTTTCCCAGTACTTTCCCATAGCCTTTCCCTAAGCAGATAGAGGGCATTACAAGGCTGCCCTACACCATGAAATACATTTCATGGACAAAGTACAACTAAACTGAAAGGGGGGCTCCAGAGAAGGGGCTTGACCTGGGGGGCAATTGCATCACCACTTGTCCTTCTAATTGGTGCTTTTTATCAATTATGCTAATTTACTAAAACCTGTAAAAATGTACTCACCCCTGGGGGGTGTGGGCTTTTGTGGACATCTTTCCATAACTGCCTCTGAAGGCCTTCAAATAAAGATCCCCATTTATATTACCTCCTTACTAAAATTATCTTAAGTTTCATTTCCAGATTGGGGAAAAGGCAACACAACCAGGTGACTTCCTGAAGTCCCTTCCAACATATGTGTTCCTGTGGATTCTGACTTTTTCAGTCAGAAAAGACAGGAAAGCATTGCTGTGAGGATGCAGGAATTATCCCAGCAGAAGTTTTTTGTCAGTGTACAAGAGCAGGGAATATAAAATGAACCAAATAAAGATATAGATTACAGACTTTACCTTGAATTGATGGTAAGAAATTTGAATCTGCACTCCAGAGAGGTAAGTTGGCAGTCAGATATTGTCACTAAAGTGCTGGATGTGACAGAATAAACTCTTAAGAGTTGTCGTCTACCAAAAAAAGAAAATTATCTTCAAGAATCTTTGCAGATTCTTTTAACTAGATATTGCAAAAATAATTGAATATCACAATTTTTTAAATTTTATTTTATTATTTTGTTTGTTTGTTTGTTATAACTGAAAGATCTGTCTGAAGACTTGAGGTCAGTATCTCTGCAGAAATAAACTTTTCTTTTGTTCCATTCTTTATCTAAGTAATGTTATGAATCCATTGTTTCCTGGAAGCAGTGTGTCTCCAGTGAATCTGAAATAAATAGGGGTTTAAATGGAGGTTCCTGTAAATGGCATTTTGCCTCTGTGGTTCCACTGTCTCCGTTATAAATCAATCCAGGTATCCTAATGCACATTCAAGAGAGAAGATAGAATTTTCTGACTAGAGCTGAGTTAGCACTTCAGCTTCATCTGGTAGAACTAACTTTAAAAACCAATAAAATGTAGCTGTCCCTGTGGGACGTGGGATGTGGCAGTTACTTGAAAGGGACTTCATGTGATTGAAAAAGGCACAAAGGAAAGAAGTAATAGTTTAGAGGTGAAATTGGGTAACTGAAATATTTCCAAAGCTGACAGGCATTTTCAAATAATTTGTCAATCACTGTTCTTTGAAACAAAATGTACTGTCCATGGTGTGTGGAGATGTGAACAAATAGTCCCACCAGAGGCAGTATCTGACTGCAAACCTGATACTTCATCTCCCTGTTTTACTTACTGTGACAGGAAAATGCTGCAGGTATCAGCAGTTACAAGTCCTTTAGAGATCTGTTTCATTGATTTGTAGGAATTGTAAGAAAATTTAGTTTTTGTTGTTAATGCAATAGTTTTATATGGTTTTGACAGTGTTACTGTTTTTTCCAGACTAATCCAACCATGGATAGTGTGAATAGCTCAGAGGGTCCCTGGCTACAAAGATTTGCAAATGGGAAGCCTTTGAGAAAACCCAGACGGCAACAGCCTTGGAAGGTGAGTGACCCCCAGCATTCCTTCAGCTGTGGGTTCTACGGTGAAGAACACAGGAGAGCAGTATCTGTAACTGGGATCCCAGGTGTGTAATTGGGTCCTGTATTGGAACAGGCTACCCAATCCCACTGAAATACTGACAGTGTTTTCTGCTCTGTGCCCCCAGACTTCCATCCCTGGCATGTGCCTGGACTAATCTGTGAGCCCTGAGCAGGAGCTTTGTGCTTCAGTCTGTCCCTCTACAGCACACGCAGAAATGGGTATTGCAGTTGTATTACTTACCATTCCATCCCACTTTGTGGCTTGGTTGTGGAACCTGGATGAGAACCTGATCTTTGTAAATCAGGTTGTCTTTTTATGCAGACCTTTTCCTTTCTTTACATTTATCCAGAGGTTCTTCTCAGCATCAGCAGACTGGCACAGCCAATAATTTTGATTGCAGCAGACATTTTGGGAAGGAAAATATTGCCAAAGATTGGCTAACACAGAAGGAAAGGCTTCTGTTGTGTGAAAGTGTGAATGGAGAAATGAAATGGAAGTTATGAAGGGAAGAATAAAAAATTGTTATTTGCAAAGTTCAGTAAAATCTGAGAAATGTTTGTCATGGAGAAGGAGAACAAAGAATTCTGAAAATAGCAACAGATTAAATGGGTTTTATTGAGCTCTTGCCATCCTTTTGAGGCAGCTTTATTGAATTACTTGCAGTTTGGTGTGTAGAAAGGTTTCCCACAAAACCTGAAACAAGCTTGTGATAGTTAGAATCAGAGAGTCATGGAACAGCCCATAGAAGGGACCTTAGAAGATCGTCTGCCCCAGCCTTTTATGGGAAAGAGACACCAGATGAGAGTATCCAGCTCCTTGTCCAGTTGCACCTTGAAGGCCTTCAGTGATGGGGACTCCACCACATCCCTGGGGAGGTTGTGCAGTGAATGATTGATCTCACTGTAAAAATATCTTTCTTACATTGAGATGAAGCCTCTGCCAGTGCAACTTGTACCTCTTACCCCTCATCTTCTTGCTGTGGCTTCTGGTGAAGTGAGAGCCTCCATCCTCTTTGTAGCTGCCCTGTAAGTAGGACTGTGATGAGGCTGCCCCTGGGCCTACTCTTTTCCAGGGAGAGAAGAGACTTCATCCCTTCAGTCAAAGGAGGCCCAACTCCTTCAGTTCTTAAGGATTCTTCAAAATATGTATCATCCTGAAGGAAAACTCTTCACCTGTTCACCAGTGATGGTTCTTAGCTGGAGTGATGGCCATGTCTGTGCTGCTGTTACAGTGCTGGGTTTAGAAAGGATCTGTGACTATGTGAAGTAAATTCATCAGGCATAATACAATATACCAGTTGTCATATAGTAGGATAAAAGGGTCTTGAAACATACCAGAAATTTAGATTTTCTCTTTCTCGTTGGTTCTGGTGGAATTTTTAATACTTATTGTCTCTTTCTTGTTTGCTCTGATGTCCTGCCCATCTCAGCGTAATAAACCTTTAGGAGTGTGGAGCTGGTCAGCAGGGCCAAGGCACACATGACTGAAAACTACACTGTCAATTGGAATTAAAAATCAATATTAAGCACAGGGCGTAGCAGGCTAATGTTCCATGCTATGCATAAAATGCATCCCATCCCCATATGATAGATTTGGTCTGCATTGCCTGTACTCCTATTCTGGAGTGCAGGAGTTAAGGAGTCACATGTTTGGCACAGGTGGGAAACAATGGCAAGGAAGAAGTGGTGTTTGGTTATGGTGAGGAGCAGGCAAGGAGGTCTGAGCATGTACATTCCAGTTCTCATTCCAGTTCTTCCAACACTCTTTTGTGTTATTTAACCCAACTGTTCAGAGCAAATCTTAAAAGGATTTGCTAGCTGGGTTGTGGTATAATGTGCCTTTAATCATGACACCAGTAATTATTTTGAATTCAAAAGTAAATCTACTCTAAGTCCTGCTTTCACCTCATGTGGGCTTTTTTCATGTTTTGTTAGGCAGCACCTGATCAAAGCCCAGACATCATTGCTTCTGTTCAGTGCCTCTTGGACAGAGAAAATTTTGTGAGGGTAAGAAGTGGTACCTCTTTTCTCATTTGCTATGTGCTTTCCTGCATGTCAGTATTTTTAGTTCCTTAACAGTGATTCATGAGAAAATGTTAATTGCCTGTTTTCTTGAAAACCTAATTTAGTGTTAGGAGCTTCTGATCTTTTCGGTCTCCTCTGGATAGAGTGAAGTAGTAACCCTAAATGTGAATCCCAGGTGATTTGAACTGCGTGTTTGCACCTTATATTTGTTCTGTGGGTGTGGTAGTTTGTGACAGTGGTGTTATGAGCAAAAGGCAGGAGGGCTGCTCTGATCTGATCAGCAGAATGCCAGTGCTGCAGGGAAGGTCCTTCTGCTGCCTGTCTTGCACAGTCTGGTGCTTGCAGCCCCCTGCTATGCAGTGATTTCAGCTCAGTAACCTGATGGGAAAGAGTGAGTCATTTTCTGCCAATCTTGCAGCATGGCTTCAAAAATTGAGGGTCTGAATGCTGAAGCTCTTGAAAGGGCAGGCTGGGAAACAAGTGGTGGGAAGTGGAAAGAGGGAAGAGCAGAAGAAGGAAGGGCTGGAAAACAGGTGCCTTGGAGCAGTGAGCAATCAGGTCAGCCAAGCTGCAAACCTTCACCTGTGGAATCTTTACTGTCATTGACCAATAGTTTATATGGTTTTTATTTTCCATTTCTTACTTAAGGAGGTGGACAGATATTTGAGGCACTGTGATTTCCTAGATCTGAGAAAGACAGAGCTTCTGTACAAAAAATACCTTGAGGATGTTTCAGAGCCATTTATGCAGAAAATGAAGGACCAAATGCACAGCCAGTCAGAGGAAGAAGTGCAGAAAAGGAGACAGGAACAATTCTCTCAGTATTTGAACTACTGTACAAAGAAGGTATCAATGAGAAGCGAATTTCTGTTGTGGAGAGGGTTGTATACAGAGGGTCATGGTCAAGATCAGGGGTTTAGCTGTTATTTCCTGTCCACTGAGTAACCTGGAGTTCAGCTATACCTTGCCTGTAGCTTACTTTTCCCTAGGACTTCTGTAATGGTGGTGTTAGAACTGTGTACGTTCACCAGCAGCTATCAACAGCAGCACTGCTTGCTGCAGTGAACACGTGCTGGAGTCTGAATATGAGACACCCTATTGAGGTGTGTTTTACCTGTGGGCTGGACCATTTAGTGGGAAAATTTGAACTCTGTCAGCTGAAACCACAGGATGAGTGAGCAGGGTGTGGACTTCACTCACATCTCAGGAGTTCATCTGCAGTAGTACTGCACTCTGTTGGCAGAGCATGAGTGAAACGATTTTGTGGCATTGGATGCTACTGATTAAGCTTCATAAAAGAAAAAATAAGAGAGATACAAAGGATTTTATTAAGTCTGCATGCAGGTAATGGACCCAACTCATGGATTTTGTAGTTCCGTGTGTTTATTCACAAAACTTGCAGTCACTGTAGAAAATGCTTGTTAGCTTTCTTCATTTTGCTCTTAATTTCATACCACTCTTGAATATCAGATCCCACAACTAAACTTTCTGTATCTCAGGAATGAGAAAAAAGAGAAAAAATAAAAGCAGATACATAATCTGCCACAAAAATTATACTTCATGAGAGCAGGCAGTTGTCAGTGGAAACCACTGCACAGTGGAGTTGTGAGACTGTAAACAAGCTACTCATCCAGAAATGAAAATATCATGGGAGCTGTGTTGTTTTAAAGAGACCAAACTATCTTTTTTTAAAGGCCTGATATGACAGACCCATGCATTTAAACTTCATGGAATACAAAGAACTGAACCAGTCCTACTGCTGAAGTCCTGTGGTTTAGGCTGTGTTGGGTGTACTGTACATATCTGGGTCTGCATCAGTCCATCTTGCAAGCTGCTGTGCCAGGTCAGGAATTCACTGGGTGGCCTCCAGAAGCAATGGCTGATGTACTAGGATGTGTCCTTCTGCCTGAAGGGGAGCACCAGCAGCAGTGATCAGCTTCTACCTTGTCTCTTTGGTCTGTGGTGTCAGGCCTGTCAGCAGCACATCGGAAAAGCAGGCTGAGGCCCTTCATATTTACAGGACAACTTATTTGCATAAGTATGCATTAACTGTGATATGATAAATTTTGCAGAACTTGAGACACTTGTGTGGGTTAGTTAATGTGGTTAATTCTGGATGTGTTTTCCCTTCCGTTCATTCTTTTTGCCCGTTTTCTTTTTCTCTCTTCCCTGCTATCAGGCTTCTCCTTCACCTGTGGCAGTGTTGTTGATGAGATGGAGCTGTGGCCTGAACCATGAGGTGTGGGTTCAGGTCTTTATTCCAATGTATAGATGGAAAAGCCAGCTCATGAACCCAGACTTGGAGCTGGCTTCTTGCAGACCAGTGACCTGCCTAAGGCTGTGGCTAGGGAGGGCTCACTCACTCCTGTTTTTGCTTTTCTTTTTAATATTGTTTTGCTGAAATCGCAAAATATTTTGAGTTGGAAGGGACCCAGAAGGATCATCAAGTCCAACTCTTAAGTGAGTGGCCCATTCTGGGATCAAACCCATGACCCTGGAATTATGACCTCCATGCTCTGACCAACTGAGCCGATCTCAGTACTTCTTTTCTCTGAAAAAACATTTTCCAGTAAAAAAAAATTCCATTGTCTTGACTGTCCTAGTTAAGGTTAGCATTTAGCCTGTAATTATTTCTGGATGCTTCATGAAATAATTTAAAATGTATTTATGCCTGTGATAAACTAAAATGGATGGAAGAATTGTCCTCTTACAGTTCAGTAACTTTCTTTCTGAGGTGTATGAAAGTTTGGGAATTCTTTTTCAGCCACCTCTGGTGCTGTGTTATGCCATGCCAGGCTCTGTCCCACCCAGGCTGGCTGCTCTCACTGTTGTAACCACCAATAGCTTCTGAGACCTGACCCAGTGCCTGCTTCTCCCACAGGGCTATGTGTTTTTGGATCATTATGACCCATCTGAGTACGATCCATTCTTCCAGAAGACGTGCAGAGACTGCTGGAAGGTGTGAGGAGGTTTGGAGGCCACTTTGACCAGCAGGAAGTTACCAGAACGTGTTACTGATGTGCTGCTGGGGGGCTGCTCTAGAGGAGCACATTCTAGTTCTGGTAACTCACTCCTACTGCATATAAGCCCAAGAGTGTTTGAACGTGGTTTTCACCAAGAACACAGTCTGGATCTATACTAAGCCTAGTTTTTGAGGCACAGTAGCAATGGCAGGGGAAGGTTTGTTTTCCTCATTTCAAATCCATTGTGGCAGCATGGGGGGTGTTCTCTCTAAGGAGGGTTGGAGAGTTCCCAGGCATGCTCAGTGTGTGCTGTGTAGAAGGAAATAACTTGATAGCTCAGCTGATCTTTACAAAACCATGGCAACAGTTTTTCTTCCTCTTTAAAGGATGAAAGTCATCAACCAGCACAATGACAGAGAGAGCCAGTGATGCCACCTGTCCTCCAGCTGACCACAGCAGAAAGGACAGCCATCAAAGGTACCAGTTACAAAATAGGTCATGTGCACTGCCAAATCAAGTGAGAACAGGCCAGGTCTTTGGACAAACTGCAATAAACTTACTGTCTTAAACATGTAGTTCTGAAATACTGTTACCCAGCAGCCAAATAAATGTCTGGGATGCTGTTCCTTTTCTTGCCATACCCAGTTCAACGTTCTACAAAACCTATTTTAGGAGGTTTAACTTGGGCTGAGCTCAATAAAGATAATGCTGCTGTTCTCTCCTGGAGACAGTGTCCAAGCAGTAAATCAAACTTTTAACATACATTGTATGTGTTTTGAGAAGGCAGGCAATAAGGAGGGGAGAAGAAATGGGAAGTGGTGTATAAAACATCTGGTGCTTTTTGGAGAGTTGGTGCTGAGCAGCAGCTGCTGCCAGTGTGCTCAAACCTGTCCCTCTCCTGTGCCAGTCCCATATCCCTGCTGGGGTGGCTGCTCAGCACCTCTGGGCTCAAAGCCTGGAAACAGAATATTTTTTGTCCTCCAAACTCCCATTGTACATACACAGTCTCTCAAGAGTTGCCAAGAGTTGAGTTTTATTTAGGATTAGAAATACTGAACCACAGAAAACTGTTAAATATAACAGAGGTTGACTCAGTAACAGGAGGGTGCACAGATGGTGATGGGGTGGGAAACTGCCAGACTTCAGGAGGAATTTCTGCACCCGTGGAAAACAGGGCCACAGGCTGCTCAGAATTGCGTGCTGTGCTTCTGCAACAAAGCAGTTTAAAGGAGGCAGTAAAATGGTTATATGTATCAAATATTTATAAACAAACTTCCTTTTTTTTTTTTTTTTAACCATCCCTGATTTGGTGCCAAGAGAAAGTTTTTACTTTCAACCAGTTAATTTTACAGGTTTATAAGGGGGTGACAGTTCCCCAGAGCAAACCTTTTAAACTTGTAATAAACTTTCCTTGAACAAATCCCGTAAGTTTTTCTCATTGTTTCACATTCCCCTGTACAATAAAATATACTTTTTAAAAATCACTATGCATCAATAAACATCTGTAGACAAATTAATAAACTTATATTTTACTCTCTATATACATGTTGGCAATGTCAAAGCTTCAAGATTCACATGGAGGTCTGGAAGACCAAGGAAATGTACACAAATAACTTATATTTAGGAACCCAAAGAGCTGAAGAGTGTTTTGCCACATTGTTGTGGGTCACAGTATTTAAAATATTTTTTTCTAGTTATTCTTCACAACCACATTGTCTCAGCAAAGAATAAATCAAATTGAAGCAAAAAGAAAAATCAAGTAGCAGTTACTGATTCCAGTGCAAAACTAAAGTCAAGTAAAGAACTACACTTGATTCTTAAAAGAATATACAATATATTGGAGACTTCTCCAGTGCTAAGGCTTCTTCAGCATTTAACCGTTAAAACTATCATCCTGAGATGGGGAAATTCCAGTGGATATCACTTTTAAGATTTCAAATGGAATGATTCTAGTGCTCAGCTTAAACCATTCCTCAGTCTGTCTGTCAGACTAAGTGGTAAAATATACAAACAGCTTGGTGCCACATTTCTATGTAATACTTTTTATGGCCCTGAAAATGGAAACATTGGCATCCAAACCCAAGAAATTCCAACATAATAAAAAGGCACTGAGCTATAGTACTGTATTTACAGTAACATTTGTGTTTGCATAGATCAACAACAACTTGGAACACTGCAAGGAACTAAGCGCAACCAGGAACTAAGAGGAAATACAGAAGCAGCAGGAATTCTTGCTTAATAAGCAGCATGGGACAAAAAAAATCTTTTACCAAAAGCTGTTCAGGCTGTTAGCTTCAGTTGTCCTTCATAAATTAAAAAAAAAAGTGTTCTTAGAGGAGTGTTTTCTGATCGAACAGCTGCAGGTCAAAGCGCACCCACACTTCTCCTGTTGGAACTTCATGCAGCAGTAAGTGTTTAGTTGTGGGGCCTTTGCTCTCTTGTTCTGTTCTGATTTTTGCTACTGGAACTTCAGTGCGACCCAAAAAATCTGTTGGGCAAATGAATAAGAAATTTCATTAGGAAGAGATATTGACCTTAGAAAATCGGAGTGAGTTAGGTTAATGCAATGCTGTGGGGTATATGCTCAGTTCAGAGCAGTGCTCCCAGGCTTCCAGTTGGATTGGACCCCAGCCCTGTGTAAACCAGCAAGCAGTGACAAAAAAGGGCTTTTTTAGAAGAGAACAATGCTGTGGAATTAGGATGTCACATTTTGAGCTAAGGGTTTAAAAATTCTCTTAGAAAATATACTCTCAGAAACACAATTTCAAGTGTTTTTCAGTTTCAGAGCTGGCTGGTCAGTTAGGTGATGGAACTTGTTTACAAATCAGCTGAGGTGCTCAAAGGCAATAAAAAAATCAACTATTTTGGCTCAGCCAAGTTTTAATTATGCCTACATATCATGGTTTTCACAAGAACAATGACCTTCAACAATTACTGCTACTAGTAGGTTTAGAGTGCTATTCAGAAATCATACACCTTCTGTGTGGCTGTTTCTTACATGACATCTTTGTGTATATGAGCACATTAAAATCTTCACCATGGACTGAAAAACAAAACTCAGCTGTCCAGTTGGGAGAAGCAGCCAGCCAAACTCACATTAACTCACAGGAGAGAAGACTGAGCTACACAGAAAGCATCTCAGGTCAAGGCAGTTCCCTGCAAATGTGCAATAACTGACTGTGTGTCAGAGCCCTGAAAAAGCACCTAACCTTTTAGAGAATATGAGAAGTAACTGACTGCCAAAAACGTGCTCAGTTTCCAAGCAACAAGAAAACTGATCAAGCTGTTGCTGTGAAAATATAACCCAGGACCTTATTTTTGAGCACTTATTGTGAGTAGAACTTCTGCTTTCAACTTGTCTGTCTCCTCAGTCTGACAAGAAAGTAATTCTGTGTCTGATACAAAAAGCCAGACTGGGATCAAATGTGACTGCGTGGTGTTACTGGCTCTGGAAGGCTATTGAACCTTCTGAGTACTGAGGCATTGTGCTTACCCAACGTTTCTCAGGCAGCAGTCAGACCTACAGGCTCTTGAAACTGCTGCTGAGGAACTGGGTACCTCAGTTAACAAAAAAGCATTCTTTGCCTAAATATTCACACTTACCATCGGGTGAGAACTGATCCCTGTCAAACATGGTGATACACAGGACATCCTGATACAGATCCTTGATGAAGAACTGGCAGTTGAAGTTCCACTTGGGGTTCAGGGTGTCCTGCAGGGTCCTGGTAGTGTAGCTCTGTGAGCCCATGCTGATCTCACAGTATGGGTTGCTCTTCCCTAAACACAGAACAGGGAATGAAACCCCTCTGCAGTGCAGAACCACCCCCTCCATCTGGAGCCTCCTTGGACACATCAATGCTGCTGCCACAAAGTGTGGATCAGGCAATCCCTGTATCCCAGAGCAGCACAGAGCTGGTTTTAATTTGGTCCTCCGAAGCTAAAGAATGAGTATTTCATACAGAAACTGTAGACAAACCAGTGTTTCCCACATGACCAACTCCTTTTAGCAAGCCTTTCCAAACGTTACAGGAATGAAAGTGCACTGAGACCGTTTCCCTCACTTACCATTGGGCTTACAGGCCTTTAGTTCCGTTGCTTCAATCACGTGCACCATCAAGCGTCCTATTCCTGAGGTTTTCTGTGAACGAGCTGGGAACAAAGAGGTCAGGAATAAACAGATTGGTTGGAACTGTAATAACTGGCAGTAGATCTGAAGAAGGAGACACTGGCATCCTCCAGGAAATGCCCTGCCCCTGTATCCAGGTGGACGAGAGGGAAATACAGAACTCGGTGGGTACCTTGATAAGCCTTTTCACGTTTCTTCTTCTCCGTTTCAATGTATTGCTCTGATGCTGCTTTGATTTTCTGGACCCAGGCAGTCCTGCAAAGAGCAATCCCTAGAGTCAGGGTCATCCCACAGGCAGCAAAATCTTCAGTGACTTTGCCCCACTCTCCCCATTCCCCCCTCCCTAAGTCTTAGAGGCATCACAAATCAAGTCAGTTCTTGGACTAAGGCGATGGAGTTTTTGGATTTAATATTACACCACAATCCAAATCAGCCTCAATAAATGGATATGGAGCTGTTGTTTTATTAAAGACTGGTGGGTCACATTAAAGACTGCCCAGGACTGGGGAAGACTGGGATATGTGGCTGGATGCCACTGCGAGAGCTGCTGCAGAAGCAGAACAAAATCAGAGAAAACTTCTCATTCAAATGAGAGTCAAGTCAGTTTATCTCCTGACCAAGAGACAGCTGTTCTTGAGCTCAGAGCCCCTGTGTCTGCAGCATCAATGAACAAGTTTAAGCTCAGATTTGCATTTTCACTACTCACCGCTCATTAATGTTGTCAGTTTTAAGTGTGTAAACTCTGTCAATGTGTGATATGTGAAAAACTGGCTCATCACTTGAAGGGTCTGTGGGAAGCTTCACAAGGACTTCATTAAGGAAAACGGGCTGAAAGAGAAGCAAATGTCACTGGCAGCATCACCCTGTGACAATAGGCAGAACTCTAGAAGCATGTTTAAATACACTGTTTTACTGTAGGGAAAATGGAAGTCATAGGACACAGGACAAACTATGAGATCACTGTATAAAGGATGCAAGAAAGGGCTGAGAGAAAAACTATTCTAGTGATTCACCCCATTCTGTTTTCCTAGGCAAAGAGCTTTGTGAAAGGGGCAGGAGTGTGCAAGAGCTGCAGTGTGGAGCTCAGAAATCCAGGAATTTCTCAGGTTCTCTGTGGGAAAGCAGCCCTGATACTTAAATTTATGTCTTCAGTTTCAGAATCTTGAGAACACACACTATATGGGCACAGACACTAAAATTTTGCACCTTCTACTGTTTTCTGAAGGACAGGAATTTTCTTGAGGATGCAGGAACCTCTGCAAACGAAGTCAAGGTCCTGCTTCTGAACATCCCACTCTGCTGTTCAGGCACAATGCTACTTCTGCCCTTTCCCCCCCCAAAGTGGATGGAAGTGTTTGTTAAACCAAGATGCAGAAATCTTGGTTAGTCCTTTACCGGATACTAAGCCAATGTCATTTGTGCAAGTTATCTGCCAGAATGTGCCCATGTGCCAGCAAAAGGGGCCACACAGTTAATCCCAGTGGGAGAGCAGCATTCCTCATCAGAAGCCAGGACCCACTGCACCAACATGTCCATGGAGCACCTTGACTCACCATTTTGTACATTTTGAACTGGGAGTTGGATTTGGGGCTGAACAATTTATCAGATCCAGAAGACACAAACTGTTTAACCATGTAGGTGAGCAGCAGGAAGTCATTGAAAAGGAATCCATACAGCTCCTTACTGCTCTTGGCCTTGTACAGCTTCCCACTGTGCAGGAGCTTCCGTGGTCCCAAGCAGTTTGTGAGGGAGTTGAACACGGGTTGCTGCGAAGAGACAAAACCCATTAGCAGCAGCAAGTCTGTGTAGTCATCAGCTCCTGCTCCTCCTCACTGTGGAGATTGACCAAGCTGCTGAAAATGCTCTTCTCTTTTGTTTAATGAATTCCATTATAAATGAAGAGAAGGGAACTGTTCTGTGATCAGCCATGGCAACAGCACAACCCCCACCTCAGAGGAGATTTCAGATTTACCAAAAACACACAGAGAGATGACCAGATGTAGGCATTTACTGCATGGCCACTTCTGTGCTGTCCAGAGACTCTGTTTAAGAAGAGGCTGCAGTCAGCTCACCTCTTACAGGTGATTGGGTGGTGGAACCAGGACAGACATTCTGGGTCTGTCAAGCCCTGGTTACTTATGCAGTGGAGAACTGTCACACACACCTCAGTGTGAAGGCTGTCCTGAAAGGTACAGGAGCCTGAATACCACATATCCTTGAGGATCTGGCACTGAGGGCTGCTGTTTCCCTCCTGCTTGAAGGAAAATCCTGGGAAACACACACTAAGTGAAATCCTTCATAGTAACAGCTGACTTAGCCCAGTGGCAGCATGATCACAGAGAGAAGAGTTATTTCTATCTGTTTAATGGTCTAAATGGTACCAGTTTTTAAGCTGGTAAATCAAGATTTGTCTGCCACTACAGTCATGCAAAAACAATGGTTCATCACATTATGGCTGGTGAGTGGAATTCCATAAAAGCTGCCTGTCTAGAGCTCAGCAGTGGATCATGCTCCAATAAGGAATGTGAGCAAGGACTCCCATTCCCTCCCCAACCTTTCTGAAATGACTCTGAAAAGCCCTGCAGAGCATCAGTGCAGGTACCTCAGCAAGGCCTTCACATTGGACATGGGCCTGGATCCATTCCAGCCTGTCCGAGTTCTCCTTCTCGCGCACACCCTCGTTCACCTGGGAGCACAACTCCTCCGCACGCTCCAGGGCGAGCCGGAGGTTACTGTGATCTGGGTGGCTCTCTGGAGTGTTCTCTAGAATCTGGCATGGATCAAAGAGGGGAGAAAACAAGATAAAAACAGAGGTAAGCACAGGTGCCTGTCAGAGAAATCCCCATAAAGGGACAAGCCTTTATCTTGGCTTTTGCTATGGAGATCTAACTCCAAGCATTCAGCTACAAAACCTCACTTGGGGTACTCACACTCTTTATGAGCAGAGGGTAGCGTGTTATCCTTTGCATGGGTTTCAGGAGGAAGCTGGAGAGGGGCATTCCTTTGCAGCGAGGGTCCAGGGCAAGTTTCTGTGGTGCAACCCAGAGATTTAGCAGAGACACTGCATTAGTCATCAGAAAGCAGTTGCATCTCTGGCACTGAATACTGAAAATTCTCTGATCAGACTCATTTTTCCAGGCATTCCAAGAGATCTTGGATTTTTTCAGTAAGTAAACACTACTTGTATCTAGAACAAAGAGGAAAGCTGGCAGTGTCATCGCACCCAGATGCTTTGCCAGCATAAATCACAGGGCTATTGTTGATGCAAAATCCTTACATTCAAAACTGTTCCAGCTTTTATTTTGACACCATAGGCTCCACTCAGTTGAAAAAGAATAAAGCAATGAAAGAAACAAATGCCTGATGTCAACTGTTCTGGCAATTTTCCTTTTATGGCCTAAGTAAATTAGCTAGAGAGAAAATAAAGAGCACACACAGTGTTAGCCATGGTCACCATGCAAATACACCTTGGAAGCTTCTTAGCTATTTTTGCAGGATTTTACTCTTCTAGGTTATTTTGATGTGGTCAATGCTGGTTAGATGGGCTCCTGTCGTTGAGGAAAGGAGAGGGCACAAAAGCTACTGAATCAGATACCTTTAAGTAGTCTTTGAAATCGGCATCTTCATCAGTTTTCTGCTGCAGCAGGGACGCTCCGTTGAGCTGGCAGCTGCAGAACCGAATGTAGGCCTGCATGTGGGACAGCTCTGCTGCCAGGATGTCCCCAATCATCTGCACCGGCATCTTCTCACCTCCCGTTTTCTTACGCACCCGCAAGGCTCTGCAGACAAGGAAAGAGATCACCATCCAACTCTGCTGCCAAGTCTGTGAGGCCTAAATCACAACCCTTACAGATCCACCTCTGAAAGGACACAAATCTGGCAGGTGAATTTCCTTACACAGCATAAGCAGTTCCAGGAGGTGCTGGAGTCCTGCCTGAAACCTGCCTGGAAGTCACTGACACAACATCCTGAGCTGAAGAATCTCCCTGATGGGGTCTGGGGGGCTGGGACTCTCCACTGAGGTTTCTGGGGCAATCAGCATCAATCTCTACAGTCAATCAGCATCCCATTCAGTGAATTATTAGCCACTGTACCTTTCTAAAGATTATTTTTAGACAATAAAAGGTTACTTTGCAGAAAACTGGAAAGAAAAGCTCCCATGCATATACTTTTGTGTAGGGTCTGTTTCTAAGGTATTACAGCAAGTGTACATCTGTTCTTGCTGTTTATTTCTCCCTCTCTCTTATTACAGCTCCTTTTGAAGCAGTCTGACTGCATTTAGCTGTTCTGAATGCAAGCATGCACAGGAAATAATCAGCAAGGACAGAATATTGACTGTAAACCCAGAAAACTTCCTGGGGGAAGAACAACAGAATAATGAGAAGGAAAATGTAAGACCATAGGCAAGTACTCACTTCAGTAACTTTGTATTTGACATGATGACTTCCTTCCAGTTAACAAAGATCAGCCCCATTTCTCCTTCTGTGAGACAGCCTGAACCAGCCATTGGTTTTTGGAAAACCTGCAGCCAAAAAATGAGCAATTCTTCAGAGAACAGAAACAGCCCAGCTTCTTGCTTAGCCCAGCAGTGACATTTTATGAATGCTCAGTGTCTTAATTTCTCTGCAGTTAAAAGCAATTCCTTACAAGCACTTGTGACAGCTGTTTCCCCTGAGCGTGTGACCCATTCTGCCACCGGCATCAGCACTTGCAAAGCGAGGACAAGCACTGGGATCTGCAGGCTGACAGCTCAGAAGAGCATTCCCATGATTTCAGACTTAATCACTACACAAATTACACTCAGGCACTGCTCCTGTCCCCTGACCCAGAGCACTCATGGTCACCCTGTGTGCAGAACCACAGCTGCTCTCAGGAGCCCTCAGCACCTCATCTCTGGGGAGCAGAGACTATTTAACATCTGCCACTTCACCACCATTGTTCTGTACAGAGAGATCAAGTTGGGTGCCCAAGAGCCCTTAATGCTGGTCTGTCCCTGCCCTGCTGAGGGAGGTGGTCTTGCTTCCAGAAATAAAACTGGGGAGAAGGCACATGATAAGCTTTAATGGTGCTTCTACAGCTCTGTGCAGCTCTGCTGGACACCTGGCCCCAGCCCATCACCCTTTTCTTGAGCCTGAACACCTAAGAACAGGATTTGGAAAACAGGAGGGTCTTTATAAGCTGATGGGTTTCACAAAATAGTGCTTTTGCCTGGTGAGCAGCCACATATCATTCACTGTAAAGGGAAGTGCCCACACCTTTCTTCCTCCATCATCTCACAATTTGTAACAATCCCATTACTGTTATTGTTCAGTACCGAGGTGTTCTTTTTCCAAATGCATTTTCACATCCAAGACATCTCACCTCTACAACGAGCTGCAGATCATCCATGTACCTCTCTTCTGTCTGAATGAGCTCGTGAATGTAGCCCTGCCTCTTCCTTTCCATGGGCTGCATGGTGTCAAGGCTCTGGAGATCAGCACACCCTGCAGGAAGTAAGTCAGGAGTTCAGATCCCACTCAAGGCATCAAATCTGATCAATTAACAAAACTGCACCAGTATTCAGCAATCTATGTCTCAGACTATACAGGCACTGGTAAACTCTCTCTGCAGTAGCAGCGGGATTCAAGATCAAGTGATGTAGCAATCAACCCCCTCCCTTCTTTGTGCCACTTTTCAGTCTATCACCTTTTAATTTCTTTGTTCACCCCCTGTACTGTGCTGCAGAATAAGAGTTCCTGACTTCTTGCCACTCCATTTGTCTCATGTTTTTTCTCATGTCTTCTGCCACATTAATTTGAAACTGTGATTTTCTCTTACCTTGAGTAATGTCTTTTTAGACTTGGTGATCTTAAAGGTCTTTTCCAACCTTAATGGTTCTATGATTCTAAGTTGTCTTTTGTGAGATGAAGTAATAGAAAATGTGGCTGGTCCTGACTTAGGACATTGCACCTTTAATCCCCACCCCATTTCTGAAGTTCTCTGCCTTAGTTATTAATTTTTAATACAAACCTCCACCACCAATTTGTAAAGCTGTAACACATAATATTATAGTTGTGTAACTTCAAAGCTGCCCAACTTTTTTTTTTTCCTCAAAATGAGCTGGAAATACATTGAATTATTTTTATGCATCAAGGATGAGGAATCAAAATCATGCACAGGAACACACCAACAGTCAATGACACCAACCCCAAGTTTCTGTCAGGACATGCAGACCCTGCAGCTTCACACAACTCTGTCTCTACTGGATGTTAGTAAACAAGACAACAGTGTTCAAACTTTAGTAGCCAAACCAAAAACTGGTAAAACCAGAGTGGTGAATGTGTTTAACTGGGTAAAGGAGAGCACAGAAAGTCAATCTGATCCCTCTGCCAGCCATCACACAGCAGAGTATTGCAAAGCAGCAGGGTGGGGGAAAAGGGAAAAGAAAGGCACAATTAGAGCGTTTGAGAATATCCATTGATCACTGGATGTGATGGCATCAGATTGCAATACCAGGTGAACTGTGGGTTTTGCAGGATAGCAGAAAGGACATCGCAGGGACTCACTTAGATCCGGCAGTTCTAGAGGAACAATACTTCATGAAGGTTTACAGGAGTCGTGAAAGGCAGAATGACCTACAGCAGGAAGGGCTGTGTCTCCCTGACACTCCTGGTACACAAGGATGTGACTATTCACTGCCATGGTACAGATCTGCTCATGGGAAGGCGAGTAAGTAATAAATTTGAGGAGAAAAAACCAAGAAACACTAAACATTAGGCTGAACTTGATGTGACAGTGGCTTAATGGGAGCTTCACAGGCTCCTGAGCTTCCAGCTACACCAGCATCAGGGTGCACTGAAAGAACAACTGTCAGCAGAAGAGAAACTCTTGCCAAGTGAAATTTTAGGACACTGTAACAAGGAAACCCTTTGAACAACACAAAGAAGTAAAATAGCAAAGACAACAGCTAGATTGAAAATCAGGACTTTTCAGTTCTGTTTTACACCCTAAGGAGGATCACAGATCTTAAGCTTTCTGACAAGGTTTGAAAAAACACTTTTTTAGAAGAGATGAGGGATTGAAGCTCTTTTGATCACACAGAATATTCCTGGCCTTAGTTATCTCCAAAGCTACAACCAGGCCAAAATTAGATGAGAAAAAGGAGTAAAGTTACAGATAAAAGTTATTCCTGCTAAGTTTGATGTCTTAGTCCATTGAGACAGTTTGTAGGCAATGGATTACTTCTGGATTCTTGTGCCACTCTTCAGTCTGGACAGGACTGAGTTTAAGCCCATCTGGTTACTAAGACATGAAATTTTAGGATAATCCAAGGACTTTCACAGTAACCAGGCATTAATTGTCCAGATTTGGAAGTCTCACTTTGGTCAGTGGCTCCCTTTCCTACTGCAAGGTGCAGTCCTGTGACAGAAGCAGGGATGGCCTGAAGCTCCTGTTGGCTTGTGTCCCAGGTGCTGGAACAACCCACATGCTGGGATTTGGGTTTGTCTCATGCTGACTACTGAAAGTTGAGGCCAAGCCTGGGACAGAAATGGGCTTATTTTATGCATTAAAATAGATCTGGTTCATAAACTCGCTATCATATGCCAAAATGCATTTATATTACCTGGTTCCTGTGCTAACCTTGTGTTTGGACTGTCAGCTTCTGGGATGAAGGGACAAATGCTATTTTGTATTTAGTATTTTATATAATTTTATTTAAACACTAGTGTTTGCTGGTGAAAACGCTCCCAGTTTTGATTGGTCTGATGATACTGGCGTAAGAACATATTATGCAATCCCCACGTTTGATTTTACAGGAAGAATTCAGGCATTTGAGTGTGAAGGGAAAAACAAAAAACTAAAAAGAGAATAAACCAGCCTAAAGAGTGCATTTGCCAATGTTTTCCTAAGTGGCCACAGCAACCCATGGGCTCATCGGTGCTGAAAGGGTGGAGCTACATCTCCACCCCTTCTCCTCCCACATTGCTTTTCCCTCCTTTCCTTGCATCAATTCTGGCACTTATCTGACTCCCTGCTCACATGCTGGCAGCAAACAAATCCCAAAGGGCGATAAAGAAAACAGAAGTTTTCTGCTGGTTTAACAGCCAGGAATGTGCATGGAAACAGTAAAACTGCCTTGTTTGGCAGCAGAAAGCTCTTGGCTTGGCTTCCCTCTGGTGAAGCTTCATCCCAAGGTCCTCAGGCAGCAGAGAACTGCTCTGGAAGAGCAGTGGGATTTCTGGGCGTGTCTGCAGCAAGGAATTGCATCTCCTCACCTGCTCTGCTAACCAAGAGGGACACCTGCCCTCTGGAGAAGCCAGCCTGCAGGGCTTTCAGCCAGCCTGGGGCACAGCCTGCCCAGCTCCCTCTCCAGAACTTCCACCAGAGTGAGCAGTGGCTGTCTGGAACCCTGGAAATTCAGGGCACTGCAGCAGAGAGATGCCTACACTGACTGTGGTGCCCTCTGGGCTAAATCCTGCTCTCTGAGCTGAGGAAGCAGCTGCCAGGGTAAAACAACCTGGAGAGTTTATAAACAGGAAATCCCAGTCTCTGAAGTTGTGTTTAAAATTATACTTTCTAAATATACCTGAACAAGAAGTATTTTTTCCTACTAACATAACTACCCCTGCACGGAAAACTACTGAGTTTCACAGTGAAAAGATGTTTGCCCCCACAGGACATTTAAAGCCCTGAAAAACATGAGGGGCTGGGGGAGAAAACCTTCCTAATTATTAACTTTTTGGGTATGAGCACATTCAAGAGGAAGAGGGACAGTTTCTGAAGAAAGGGAATTCTCTAATGAAAGACAGAGGAGTAACACCTATCACTATTTTCCCAACAGACTTTCCCACTCAATGGACAGGGGAAAAAAACCTCTAAGTTTAAAGTGACTATTTTTCATTTGACCACTGAAGACTCTTTAGGGATAGAGATGAGGTTTAGATTTGATATTGGGAAAAATTTCTTCATGGAAACGGCTATAAAGCACTGGAACAGGCTGCCCAGGGAAGTGGTGGAACCACCATCCCTGGAAATATTAAAAAAGCATATTGAGATGGCACTTTAGGATGTGGTTTATTTCTGTTAGGTTAATGATTTGACTTGATGATCTTAAAGGTCTTTTCCAACCTTAATGATTTCATGATTGTATACAAACTGTTTTTAAAAGGAAATGGTTTGTTTAGGGTTGGGGTTTTTTTGGAGGGGTTGTTTACTTGTTTTAATTGTTTGTTTGACTCCGGAGCCAGCTGACATGGCTGCAAAAAACAGGTAAGGGTTGGGTGTTATTTTCCTGGTTATTTTCCCAGCCTGCCATAGAAAGGCCATGTGTCCCCTTAAGGACCAGGGGCTGGCATTAGCACAGTCCCTTCAGTACAGTCAGAGAGCAGCTGATGGCATCAGGAGACACCACCATGGCAGGTACAAGCTCTGCAGACACACACAAGGCCAACGCACTTGGGACACACTCCTGTCACTCCTGGAGCCGCCAGCAGCCTCTGAAACCCACAAAAGGAACAAATCCAAGAAATCTGCTACTGTGGAAAAGGCAGTTTCCATCAGGCCCTGGGAGAAATAATAAAAACTTTTATCCAATCTCCCCTAATCAGTAAACACAGGATACTGTGCTACAACAGAGGAAAATTATGAATTAATTTTCAAGAGGTAAAAAGCAAAATCAAGTCACTCCATCACAGGTGACACAATGCTCATTCCAAGCTATTCAGCTGGGAAAAAAATCCTCTGTAGATGGACAAAAAACCACAACAGACAAACTAGATCCTTTCATATGTCCCTTTAATAAAATACATTTGCATAGTTATCTTACAACTTTGTTCAAATCCAAAGGTGAACAATTGCCTCATGCTAAGCACAGCCACATTCACGTGTCTCCACAACTGTCCCCACAGGTGCCACTCAAGCTTGGGAAGGACAAGGAGAGGTTTTAAGGCAGCACACACCAGAACGCAGCACTTTTATTGGTTCATTACACTGAAGTAGCACGACCCTGCCACAGCTCCTGCTGCAGGCCAAGGAGAGTCTCTGCATTCCTAGGAGCAGACTTATTTACAGGTGTTTCCAACCCTGCCCAGGAGAATCACACAGCAATACGATCTGACAAAGCACTGAGAGGACAGAAATGTTCAGTGACCAGGGGGGAGGTGTTTCGTTATTGGTGTGTAACTTTCTGATGGAGCTTTGTGCCACCTGCTCCTGACTGCACCATTAACCATGTGGAAAAGGTGCTTTGGATGCTCCCAGCCCTGCCTCTAGTCCCAGAGGTGGCACAAGACCTTCCTGCGTGGATCCAGCTCTGGATCAGGAACTAAGCTTGTGTCAAAAAGGCTGCTGTGGATTGGTAGTCCATTATGCAAACCAGACAGTTACAGAAATAGCGTTTTGGTACCCGTTCTTGTGAATTTACAGCACTGTTTGCTTCTCACTCCCAGTGACACCAGGGCCCCTATTCTCTGCTGGCCCACAACAACATTTAGCAAGTACCACA